TAATTTTTGAATTAGTTATGAAAATTTTTCTTAAAATTTAATATATGATTGAGCCCAATTTTGTGGTTCAAAATTTTTTTGTTAGGTCTTATAGATAAATCTATAATGAGGTTTTTTTGTTGGCTCATTTTGTATATCGCTCATGTATATGAATTGCGTCTTTAATTGGTGTTCTATTAATAAAACTATACTTTTGTGAATATTTAAAATTTTATTATTAATATAGTTTAAGTTGCCCCTACTGGAGAATATGTCTGACTCCGCCCCTGATGATACCGTCATAAAAAAATTCAGTATTATATTTTTAAAATTTATCACTTTAAATAGCATTTTTATAATTTTTGTGGGTCATTTTATAATTAAAAGATTTATTACTTTTGTGGTTAATTTACTATTATTGTGAGTGTTTTCATCACATTCGTGGTATTTATTTTTATCACTTTTATGAAGTACAAAAAAATTTATCACTTTTATGAGTAATTTGTCACATTTGTAAGTGTTTTTATCACACTTGTAAAAATTTTTATTATTGTTGAGGTAATTGTGGTAAATTTCAGTATGGTATCAAAATTTTGAATTTCGATATTATAGTCAAGTCCAAAAGTTATTAGTGATTATAGAATTTGATAGAATTTATTAGTTTTATATATTTATACATAATTAATTGACGATGACAAAATAATATTATAATTACATTTAATATTTTCTCCAAGAAAATGAAGCTCATGTTTTGATGTTGGAATAGCCAATTTTAGTTGTTTTTTGTTGTACTTTATAGTTACAATACTTTGGTAGGATTAAACTTATTTTTTAGCGCCAAGAGAATGTAAGGAAACTTTAATTTCGGCCCCGATGTAGATACAATGAGATTTTTTTATAGATAATTGTGTGGTGTTGATAAGTAATGTTTCCTTACGAATATGTAGAATTAACTATCTGCATATTTATTTTATGAATTGAAAAAAAAAATTACATGATTATTTATTTTGCATTGATTTGATTAAACAATTATATAAATTTTTTTGACTTAGCTCAATTAATTTATAAAATCATACTAACTTTTGAATAATAATTTTGCATAAGTCTTCCCATAAATTAAAATTTTACTAGCTAACAAAACTAATTTAAAAATCTTATAATTTTGTAAAGATTCATATAATACAAAATTAAAAAAGAAAACTACATAAATCAAGTATTTTCTTTATATAATACTGACAAAGCAGGTCCATTCTTTGAAAATTTGATTATTCGTGTTAGATATTAATTTGAGTCCATTTATTTTTTGAGTTTTCAAATGATGTTATGTTTTTGGTTTATATAGAGAACCAAACAATTTTAATATAGTAGTTTTAAACTTGCTTGAAATTAGTTTGATATGGAAAATGTCAATCCAATATAATCTAATGTAGCATGGAATCATCCATGTCCAAAGGTCTCTAAATTAAATACAAATAATATTTTATCTATTATAATCATTTATAGTCAAATTTATAATATTTTATAAATCATGTTTTGTCCAATTCATTTATTTTATATGAACTTGAGCTAATGGCCAAAACGTTTTATTCTAATTTATCATTATTTAGTTTTTCTATTTTTTTATATTGTCAGAATAATAAAAGCATATTTATTTGAGGTATTAAAGGTTAAGATTGAATTAAATTACTTCAGCCGTCATTTAATACCAAGTTTAAATCAATTTACAATTTTCCATCTTAAAGATACTTTCGTACCGTTTCGATATTATAATATCATATAACACCCCATACTTAATCTAAACCAATACCAAATAGTATTAAATGAAACACTATAAGCATTACTATCCAAAAAGGCAAGAATATATCTATATATTTATTATGGGATATTTTTGTCTTTTTAACTTTAGTACCATACACTAATACCTCAATTAAATATGGAGTAATGATACACTGACCAAATTTTGAGATCAAATTTAAAGCCCAATAAAGACACTAAATAATATGCTGTCATGTTATTTGAGTTCTAAATTTGGTCTCAAAATTTAGTCAGCATAACATTACTGTTAATTATTATATTAATATTAAAATAAATAGACTCACAACTTAAACAAAACTTAAAAATTATATATTAATGATATCTATATAATAAAGTATGTTACAATTCAAATCTCAAAAGATAAATAAAATGACTTTTACTATTCGCGGTTGAAATTGCTTTAAATTTTACTTTAAAATTAATCTAACGGTTAATATTAACACTCTAAATTTAATATGAAAAATAGGCCCTAAGAATGTGTTTGGAGTAACTTTTTAAAAGTACTTTTAGATATTATTTCTCATAAATATTATTAAAAAAATAGTGTTTTAAACCGACTCACCATTACCTCTATCGTCGCCACTCGCTGCCGCCGCCACCACCACCGTCGTCGCCGCCATCACCACCACCATTGCCAACCCTACCACTGCCACCACCATCGTCGCCACCACCACCGTCATCACCGTCGTCGCCACCACCTCACCACAATTGTGGCCACCACAACTGTCATTGCCAACCGTACCACTGCCACCACCACCCCTACCACCATCTTCGCCACCACCACCGTCATTGCCACCGTCACCATCATCTCCACCCCCACCACCGCCCATGCCACACCACCACCGTCACAGTTGCCACCCTCACCACTGTCACTGCCACCACTACCACTACCGCCCACTTCCTCTTACCCTCACTATTAACCGATGCTTAAATTTCTTTATCTTTTCTTTATGTTTGTGATTTAATTTTAGATATAAGTACAAATATATTTATTGTGTTACCATTTCTTATTACTTTGTGCCTTCAAGCACATGTAATAAACTAGTCTATATAATAAAATAGCTTACAATTCAAATTTCAAAAGATAAATAAAATGACTTTTGTTATTCTCGGTTGAGATCGCTTTAAATTTTACTTTAAAATTAATCTAACAGCTAATATTAACATCCTAAATTTAATAAGAAAAATAGGCTCAAAGGATGTGTTTGGAGTGAATTTTTAAAAATACTTTTAGATATTATTTCTCATAAATACTTTTTTAAAAAATAGTGTTTTAAATCGACCCACCACTACCTCTATCGTCACCACCCCCACTGCCACCACCACCGCCGCCGCCACCATCACCACCACTGCCACCGCCACCCCTACCACCATCGTCGCCACCACCACCACTGCTGCCGCCACCCACCACCGTTCCACCGCCACCTCCACCACTACCGCCGTCGTCGACACCACCCCCACTACCATTGTCGTTGTCACCACCGTCATTGCCGTCGTAACCATCGCCATCGCCTCCACCGCCCATGCCACCCTGCCACCACCGTCGTTGTTGCCACCCCCATCACCACTATCGCCCACCACCTCTCACCCTCACTACTAATCGATGCTTAAATTTTCTTTATCTTTTCTCTATGTTTGTGATTTGATTTTGAATATAAATACAAATATATTTATTGTTTACTATTTTTTATTACTCTGTGCCTTCAAACACAGTTAATAAACTAGTTTATATAATAAAATAGCTTACAATTCAAATCTCAAAAGATAAATAAAATTACTTTTACTATTCACGGTTAAGATTGTTTTAAATTTTATTTTAAAGTTAATATAACAGCTAATATTAACACCCGAAATTTAATAAGAAAAATAGGCGTCAAATTGTGTGTTTAGAGTGATTTTTTAAAAATTATTTCTCATAAATACTTAAAAAAAATAGTGTTTGAAACTGCCCCACCACTACCTCTACGACCACCACCACCACCATGCCACCACCGCCACCAGTCCCACCCTCCACCCCCACTACCATCATCGGCATCAGAATCGGCACCGCTACCACCACACACAACCATCGTCGCCACCACCACCACAGTCATTGCCACCTACCACAATCATCACTACTGCCTACCACCTCTCACCTCCACTACAAAACCAATATTTAAATTCCTTTACTTTTTTCTATGTTTGTGATTTGATTTTAGATATAAATACAAATATGTTTATTGTTTACTAATTTTTATTACTATGTCTCTTCAGTCACAGATAATAACTAGTAATAAAATAATTCATGAATTATTATCATTACTATAAATTAAATTAAAATTAGTCATTACATCACATACCATACTATACACTGAATTAAAAAAAAAAAACTAACTTTATATGGACCTATTTTGGAAACTTAATTCAATGCAGTCATTAAATTAATTATAAATTTTAATATTAAGTGAAACCCACTTTTAATCTAATAATTTTATTTGTGTTGTATAACATTACTCGATTTTCAGATTAAATTCTTAAATTTGATCAAAATAATATTTTCCTAAAATTCCTGCCGACTTTAGGAAGAGTAAAAAACTAAAATTGGTTACTAGGTCAGTGTTTGAACTAACGGGGAATTTAATTCTGCCACGTGGATGCATTTCGCAGCGAATACGTATTTCTTGTACCCTAATCGGCTGGAATACGTACTCGTTTGTTCAGTTGATAGTTATAGATATTTTGCCATTTAAAAAAAAAATACATAAATATTATTTCCGGAGTGGGTGCCAAAATCGATGAGACTTCTCGCGTGAGGCTCCGCCTGCGTGAGCCATTAAAAATTTTAAAAAACAAATAAATAAAGGGCAATCAAATTTTCTACCCTAAAAAATAATAAGAAATTTTCTTTATACCCTAAAAGATTCAATTTTTTTTTTTACTATACCTAAATATGTTCATAGTATTGCAATATCAATATAGTTCTATTGTTTTTGTTGAAAATTCCATCAAAAATACCCAGTTAATATTGATGGAGTAAGTAACGGAAGTTAATAGAAAAATTATATTATAATATTTTTAATGCATTGAGGGAAAAGTAAAAAAATTAATTTTATAGGGTATAAAATGGAAATTCTTAAATATTTTGGGGCATAAAGTATAATTTGTCCTTCAAATACAAACAAATCAATTAAGTGTATTTAACCTTTTTCTTTTTCTTTTGGCAGCCTTGCAGTTCTTGCCTCCCACACACTTTTTTTCCCTGATTCCTTTGCGTCCCCCACCCCCCTTCTCTCTCTCTCTCTATAATTTTGCTGTTTTCTCATTTGAAACTTCCTAGGAGGAGAGCCACACACTTCTGTACAGCTAGCTCAGGTACGAGCTCTGTGTCTCTCCTTCCCCCTCTCTCTCTCCCTCTCTGTTTGTTGAGTTTGTTTGCGTACTTTTAGAATTCATGCTTACAAACCATAAGTTTGTTGAATCTGACATTTTTCAAAAATTTTGCACATTTCATGGTGAATTCTGAAGAAAAATCTTCAGTTTCATGAAATTCAGCCTTTTCTGGTTTTGAAACTTGCGATTTGGTATGCTCTGATAAACTTTTTTGCCTTGTCTGTGCGGTTAAAATATAAATTCTTCGGTTATAAAACATGCGTATTGATATTTCTCTTTTCAGCTAAGCTTTTGTATGTAAAATCGGTATGATTTCGTATAGATCTGCAAAATTTAAGATCTGAAATCAGGTTCCTTTAATCTTTTTTCTATGAATGTCAATTTTTTTGGGGGGGAGGGAATTTCGCGTTGTTGAAGTTTTCCCTTGGAAATCGTTATTTCCATAAGATGTTTGATTGTTCAGCTTTTTTGTAGCTGTATTTTTTATTTTATTTTTTGTTGCTGGAAAAGATCAGATTCGGTGTAGATCTGCCAAAGGCAGCTAGAAAATATGGGTTTTTTTTTTGTTTTTTACGGAAATCGGACAAATTTCTTTATTTTTGTTTTTTAAAATTTATTTTAATACGCAGATATTACTTGAGTTATATATATCAAGCATATATACAGCTGCAAGTAGTTCCAAAGATTGCAGAAAGTTTCAATTTTTCGTTAGATCCACATAGTTCTGTCCTTTTTTATGAGATATTTCTTATTCGGATTTGATTCTACTTCGGACTTGCATCCTAGGCTATGTTTGAGTTATTAAAAAAAAAAAAAATAGCCCCAAGGGAACCTCGAACGAGTTGTAAATCCAGTTGTCAGAGTTCGGAGCTTGATAATTGGGTTAGGCCCAAAGGCATGAATGACATGTCAAGTGGATTAGTCCCGGACACACCTATGATTGAACCAAAAAAAAAGATAAAGCCAAAAAAATCGGAGCCGGCCATTTTTTCTCCATAGTATTTTATTCACAATTTGACCAAATCTTGATCTGCCCTTCACAATCCTGATCTGCTAATGAAATCAAAGATATAATTTTTGTTAAATTGAAGTCTTTGTCTTTGTTTTTCTGGGATGTATTGGTTTGTTTTTGTCTTGAAGTTTTTGTATGAAACTCTTTTTTGTTTGTATTAAAACAGACGTTGTTTAGAAAATGAATCACTGTGCGATCCAACAAAAGGCCTTGGCAGCCTGTGAGAAAGAGATGAGAGCCTCTATTGGTGTTTCCTCTCTCTCTGATAAGAGAGAGAGCGTGGTTTGTCCTAAACCTCGGCGTCTCGGTCTCAACAACACCACTATTAACGACGCTATCAGACCTCTTCGATGGCAATTGAGGTACTGTTTTAACTCTTACCTATCCTTTTCCTACTGTGTGTTACCTAATTTTTTAATCTCTTTTGGTTGAGAATTTTTGTCTTAGATGTATGAAGTTTGATTGCTTAACTTTTAATTGTTTCTGACTGACAGCCATCAGCCAGAGCTCTGTGATTCAAAAGCAGGATCTGAACTCTTGGACATCATTCTTGCAAAGGTAGTACCCTCTCTTCTTGATAAAATTGTGATGTTCTCAACAGATAGTAATAGTATATGTTTATGTGGTCGAAAACTACGTGGCTTGAAAAAATTAACTAAAAGGAATAAGAGAGAATATCTTGTCTTTATCGAAGGCTGATACTTGTGGATGATGTTTCTAGTGACTTAATGGTTCAGAGAAAACCAGTGTTACATTTGATGGATTCAGATTTTGAGGAACAAATCTGCAATACCCGTGATTATTTGTAATTGAGTTCCCTTAGCTGATAGATAAGGGAAAAATCTGTTTATCTTTGTTCCATTTGCAGAATTAGTGACATAGGAACAAATCTGCAATACCCATAATTTGTTGCCTCTAATTGAGTTGATTGTTTGGTTTTTACAGGGTGTTTATGGTGCGGAACAATCTTGCACACAGGCAGCCTCGTCGCCCCCTTTTTTTTGCGGGTCCCCGCCGAGCAGAGTATCTAACCCATTAATTCAAGACGCCCGATTTGGGGATGACAAAGTCACCCCAGTCTCGCCAGGGTCAATTCCTGTTCCCTCTGGTTTGTCATCGTCTCCATCTTCATCCACAAGGAAAGGAGGCTGTGTTCGGGCGAATTTTGGTAACAACCCAGCTGTGAGAGTTGAAGGGTTCGACTGCCTCGACAGGGACAGGCGAAATTGCAGCATCCCTGCCCTGGCTTAGAACCCAAAGTACATACAAAAAACACTGAACCTTGAGAAACAAGGAGAATCTACTACTTGATTAGCAGGAGGAGAGGTATTTTGAACATTTTCAGCAGAGGAAGAGAGATATTTTGCTAGTGTAAATATGTTTTATAAAGTGTCTATATGTAATGTTTCTGTAAGTATTAGAGTTGTTATTAACATAAATAATATTTGAGAGAGGTCTTTAGGATTTGTTCAACCCCTATTATGATGTAAGTATGAAAGTGGGGGAATTTTCAAAGTTGTTTCCGTTTTGGGGTCTTAAAAAAAGAAATTTAGAGGGGCGGCTTTCTGATGAGAATCTGTAAAAATCTGTAGTGGGTAATGAGTCATCTTTGTAGTCAATTCCACATTGTATATATAAATGAAGTCTTTCTTTATTAATCAATTGCGTTATGTTATATTTTATATATCCTCTTTTTGTATTGGACGGCAAATAGGTATTATGATGTGATGATCTTTGCTTCCTGGCCACGCCAAAGTTGGGTATGCTATTTTGGGCCAAATGGATAAATACTAGCTAATTGGTGGTCAAAATGTGTTTTGATGCGGTCTGCATTAAAATTTTTGGGTTTTTTCTCTCTCTCTCCAATGAAAACTTGTGCCAACATAGTGTTTCTTTACCTCCGTGTTTTGACCAAGTAATTCTAGAAATGTTTAAACAAGTGTTTTTTCTTTTTTTTTTTTTTCCAAATAGTCAAACTTGAGACTTGGAACATTTTTGATGGAGTGCTCTTTAAAAATAGAGTATTTTTTTAAAAAAATAGAGAATAAGAAAATTTAAAATACAGTGTAAAATTATTTAGACAATTCCAATACAGCGATGTATTGTTGTAAAACAATAACTTAAAAAGCTTACTTATGCGAGGCTAGAAAGATTTGTATGCAACAAATATCTCAATTCCTTGTATCTGGTTAAGCAAGTCTTGTCGTCAGCTTCCACCCAGATAAAAAACGCGGGTGCATAACGCAAAAGGAGATCGATCAAAAAAAAAAAAGGCCATAAATGAAGAAGTAGTGGACCTTTCACCTTCTTTCTAGTTACTCGGGGAGCTGCTATGGGAAATACACTTTAAGATGAGTTTTCTCATCAAGTCCTCTAACAATGGACTCATTGTCTCAATTAAACTCTTTTAGAGACTGTTTGATATGTTTTTTTTTTGAGAGATTTAGATTGACTTGTTCAAATTCTTTTAAACTTTAAAAAGATGAGATTTAATATTTAATAATTTAAATACCTATATTTTGTATGCGTAGGAATATATGACTATTATAATAATATATTTATATATAAATGACTATTGTGTCCCTTAATTAATTTGTATATACATGGTATCTAGAATATATGAGAATATAAATATTATTTGCATGTTAAACTCATTAACCCACACATGAAACCCCCCTCCTCTTTTGGATTTCATGAAACCCATGAACTTAGATTTCATGACCGGGCCTAAATCGGGCCGAGTTTCAAAACTTGCATTACATGTGTATTTGTCAAACATAGATTTGAGAGGGTTTATTCCTTAACCCATGTTTCAAAATCCTTCCAAACCCACGTACCAAATATGCCCTTATTGCATTCGAAGTATGCCTAGTTTTCTTATTTATTAACAAATTAGCATTATTTTCATCGATCTATCGGTGCTGACATCTGCAGCTGCACGAACTCTTCTCGTGTGCCACAAATGACCTACGAAAAAGGAGAATCTTAGAACAAAATTTATGGGTAATAAAAAAAAGGCTCTACTCTACCCAACTTTTATCTTGTAGTTGCATTTTTCTCCCAGTTATTAAATAATAAGCCCTATTTGATCAAGTTCATTTAATGAAAGAATACATATGTTAATTTTCATTTACTAGTGATATAATTGAGTGTTAATTTTTCATTTACTAATGATATAATAGAGAGTATTTTGACTTTCTAGATGTAGAGAATGAAATTAAACTCTCTATTGTAGTTATTTCAAATACAGTTTACTGAAGTTTGATTTTTTTATGGATGACTTTTTTAAAATTGAGCTCTTAAAAACTGTATCCTCTGTCCGTGTCTTAATATAGTCATTGGTAATATCAGTTTAGTGAAATGTATCTATAAAATAAAATATAAAGGATTTCAAATTTTTTAAAGACATAAAAATGACTTTTATTTTTTATGGTCAAGGAGATGAAGGGATGATGATGCACAATTATTTGAATCGAAATTAAAGAGATGAATTATCAGCTAAATTTATATGATCTGGGCAAGCTAAAATTGAATTTAACTCAAATGGTAGTTGGTCACTTGATAGATGTCTTAAGTTGACATTGATTAAAGATTCGATACTCCATAAATTGAAATGTTCATTGGAATCGCCTCCCTTAAATTTAACCCATGCGCATGAAGAGGAGGTTTTGTACATGGGATCAAATTGACTGTCGGTCACAGGTCTGAATGGGCTCGGTGGGGGTTCTTGAGTTACCAAAAAAAATAAAAATTGAATTACATTTAATCCATTATTAACTCATCCACAAATTGGCCAACATGTCTATTTTTATTTTTATTTTTTTGCTATAAGATGTCTAGGCTTACTGTGATTATTCCATCGAATTTAAATACTAGTCACCGTCGTCCGAACCGATTCAGAACATATCGTCTAATGAATAAAGACGACTAACTCTTAAAGAATATAAAAAATGTTAAGTCTGAAATTTCTGAATTATCAAAAATCAAATCTGAATCACCCTGAGTTTACCCGTTTATTTGTCCTTCTGCCCTTGGTATTGTTCCAAAGGTCAGGCTCCCAAAATAACCGGCCACTGCCAGTCTGCCACCACCGCCTACTTGACGGCCAAAAAAAGACAACCTTCCCCCCTCCCAGTCAGCCGTAAGCCCACTATCCACCCCCTTTCGGTGAAAACCAGAGAAGCCTATTGTTTTGCAGCTAATAACACCAAGTAACAAGTTAACAGCTAGTGACAGCACAGTCTCCACTGGCGTTACAAAAGCTCAATATGAATATATATCACATTATCTGATCAATATATATATATATATATATATATATATATATATATATATATATATATATATCACATTCCCACGTGGCAAAGGTGACCTTTTGCGCTTTTTTGCGGCACTAGACAATGACCATTGGGATATGTCAAATCCGAATCTATTTAATGTTAACATAAATTGATAATTTTTAATATGAAGCAACCAACTTATACTCTAAAATCAAAATAAAGTGTGTTAAAGCTCTTTCCAACTTCTCTTTCAAAGGCAAGAAGGATTTCGCCTTTCTATTAATGAGAGATTAATGCGCTCAAGCATACTAGCATCCAATGGGTTAAGTGCCACGATTATACATTTTAAATAAAGAATATTAAATAAAATATATTAAAAATATGCATGTATCTCGTATTTATTAAAAAAAAAGTATTGGCACGTGATTATGGAAACTTGTAAGTTGTAACAGCTCTCATCACCGTAAATGGACCAAGTTCCAAAACCACCGTACCAAGAACAAGCGTGAAGCCTACATATACCAAATCACAGCCCTGTCAAAACACAGGTTAACTAAGTGCCAACACTTTACAGAAAAGAAATGAAGAGGAGGCAGAGAAACGTGGCCGGAAATGGAACGCCGGCAACGAAGAGGAAAGTGAAAAGGGTGGCTGAGAAGGTGGAAGAGGAGGAGGAGGAGGTGGTGGTGGTAGAAGAGAGGAAGGATGGTGGGGAATGCGTCAGGGGGCCGGTGGAGGAGAATCCGGAGATGGTGGTTGAGTGGGAGGAGTGGCAGTGTTGGTGGAGTTCTGCAGTGGATGAGCTGATGTCATGGGGCGCAGTGTGGTGCCCATTTTGGGATGTGGTGGAGTTCATGGGTGAAGACTGTGAAGCTTACGATGCATTGTATAGTGATGTTGTTTGGGATTATGATGTTTGGGATTTGAAAGGTATCAATGAAGTTCCGAAGCCATGAGTGTGAGAGAGAGGGTGAGGGAGGGATTTTTTTTTGGGGGGGGGGAGGGGGAAGAGGATAAAATTAGAGCATTTTTACCTGAAGTTAATGAAAGTTTAATCTCATCGTTTCATTGCTTGGCATAGTCAATTTTATTGTTACACTACTAAAATTACACATTACATCTGATTTGCATAAATTATAAGATACACACATGTAACTTGTGTTTGATTGTGTGCTTCATAGTGTGCATTATAATTCAAGGGATAGTTCAAATAATAACAGAGATGAATTATAAATTTAGACGTTCTGAGTTTGAATCTTGATAACTCTTTGGACTAGACCATGAAAGATTTATTCCTCATGAATTTATTAATTTCGACGTAGATAGTTTACCTTTGATTGGACCAGAGAGGAAATTAGTAGAGGTACACATAAACTGATTTGAACATTTTAAACCATTGAACCCAAAAAAAAAAAAAAAAAGTGTACATTATACATAACTTGTGTAATATGAGTTTTTAACTGTAATATTAAATAGATAAGAAGCTTGCAATTACACTTGTCCTAATCAAGCTCTCGCGATGAACTTGTAAAATTGAAATATTTATAACAATCTATAATATATATCACACACGTCGGGTTATCACATATTTTTCTTAAAGAGCCTAGGAGGAGTATTATTATGAGAACCAAACTAAAGATATCTTTGTTAACTTAAATTCAGGACTTAAAATAAATGTATTCGATACTTATTAATTAAATTTATTTGATTATTAAAATTTTAATATCTTAATATATTAAATATTTCTTAAAAATAGGCTACAATATTAAGTAAGAGACTTCTTACTTAATTCTAAAAGTTAAAAATACCTAACAAAATCTTATTTAATAATATTTATAATACGATAATTCTACCATCTCCTCTCCTTTCCCTCAAATCGTGCCCAAGCTTCTCTCTTATCAAAAACTCCTCTCTCTCTCTCTCTCTCTCTCTCTCTCTTAAACCTAGCCGTGAACTGCACACAAGATTCGCCGGAAACCAATAGTCCTTGTCCAATCCTTATCAAACAGTGGCTTGAAATCAATCCCAGACTGATATATCGATAGAGGCCATTGATAAACACCAACAACAGCCCAAACAAGATGAACATCCTTTTGATTGATCCTAGTTGTAATTTTTAAAATTTACGACAATTGATAGTTTTAAGTGATCAATTTAACTTAAATTAATTGTATTATCATTTGTTAGATGTAAACTATAATATGATAATAATAATTATAATCTATGTTATAAATTAAATTGATTTGATATATCGTAGTTTTTATTAGATAAAAATATAATTTATAAATATTTTCAAAGTAAATAGTGAAAGTGTAAACTAAAAATTAATTTATTTTTAGATATCAGCTCTATGTAGTTATTGAATAGTTTAGTTCAATTCAGTATTTAAATTTTAGTTTAGTATTAAACAGTTTTTGGACTTCAGTTTTCAGTTTTATCAAACACCATCCAAATGAAAGGTTTTTTAAGTGTAGGTATATTTTTTTAGACTTATTTGAGAGGAAGTATATGGATATGTTGTTTACTCAATAACTTCAATTTTAATAAAATATATTGTGATTAGGTATAAAATTTAAATAATCTTTTATTTATTTTTCTTACTTATCCTTCCTTAAATTATGCATAATTCTTATTCTTTCACTCTCTCTCTCCCTTATTTTCTCTCTCTATCTCTCTTATTGATAATTTATTTTCTTTTCAAATATGTAAAGATTTTATTTGATTTTTCATCTCTCTCCTATATTTTCTATCTCTCCCTATTTTTCCTTACTATTACCCTATCCCTTTATATTAGGGAAAATTTCAACCACACCCTTTGTAGTTTATCATATCTTCAAGGACACCTCTCTAGTTTCTGAATCTTTAATGATACCCCTGTCAGATTAAAAATATTAAGGAAAAATTTCAATGACACCCCCTCTAGTTTATCATATCTTCAAGGACACCCACTCTAATTTCTGAATCTTTAATGACATATCTTCTAGTTTAATTTAAACATCACTAATATCCCATACCATTAAACTACTATTTCTAACAAAATAAATTCATCTAAAATACCAAAAATGCCCCTACATAACCTCAAGTAATTTTTTTACATAAAATTTTATTAAAATTTGAGCTGTTAAAATTTTTTAAAAAATCATAAATAACAATTTTAATAAATAATTTGTTAGTAAATACTAATTTTTTATTTACTAATTAGTAAATTTTAAACAAAAAATCGAGCCTATTAAAATTTTTTTTTTACATATTAAAATTTAAGCCAATTTGAACTCTATCCGAGTTGTTAGAGCCGATTAAAATTCTCTTTCGAGTCGATTATAATTTATATTTTTTTCTTATTAAAATTTGTGTCAATTAAAATTAGATTTATTAAAATTAATATATTTTTATATATTAAAATTTAGGCTAATTAAAATTCAATGTGAATTAATTAAAATTTGATTTGAGTCGATTAAAAATAATTTTTAATTGGCTCAAACAAAATTTTAATTAGCCCAAATTCTAATGCGTAAAAAAAATATAAATTTTAATTAACTTGAATCGAATTTTAATCGGTTCGAATTTAATTACGTAAAAAAAATTAGAAAACAGAGAGGGTCNACACAAATTTTAATATGTAAAAAAATAAATTTTAATTAGCTTGAATCGAATTTTAATCGATTTGAATTTAATTACGTAAAAAAAATTAGAAACACAGAAGGGGTCTCATTGAAAATACACTTATCTAGAGGGGGTGTGGATGAAGTTTGTTCTCAAATATATCAAGGGCAATTTAGCAAAATTACATTCTACTTAATATTTTTAATCTGACAGAGGGTATCATTGAAAATTCAGAAAGTAGAGGGGGTGTCATTGAAAATTTTCCTTTATATTAACATTATAACAACACAATTACACAAATTAGTTACAATTTAGTTTATAATACACCAAAAATTTACTCATATGTTCTGAAAAATTAAACAGTTACACCAAATAATTATACAAAATTATGATACCAACCTAATTTATCATTTAGATATTCACATAAACCAAAAAGTTACACCATTTAGTATCACAACACAATTACACCAATTATATACGCAAAATTTGGTGTTATGATAAATTCTTTTGTGTAATGATAAACCCAATTTGTAATTAATTGATATAATTGTGTTTGTTGTAATGTTCATATAAAGAGAGAATAATGAGAGAGGGTAACAGTGAGAAAAATAGGGGGAGAGAGATGTACATATTTAAAAAAACACTAATGTTATTGAGACATAATTTATGGACATAATTTGGGGATATAATGAGTTGTCACTAATGAAATGGTAGTGAAATATATTTAATGATAGGTCCCATTGTAGCATTAAATGAATTTATTATCATTTCATTGGTGACAACTCATTATGTCCTCAAATTATGTCCATAAATTATGTCCCAATAACATTACTCTTAAAAAAACATAAATTATTAATGAAAGAGAGAGAATAGGGTATAGATAGAGAGAGTAACAGAGAGAGAAAGATAAAGAGAAAGATATAAAATATGGAAGAGAGAGAGTAATAGAGTAATAAATGACCTTTGAGACTTTTTTTAAAAGAAAATGCTCTTATGATCAAATAAGTTTTCTTAATGTAATTTAATTTAATTAAGTCCAAATTTTTAACCTGGCTTTCAAATTTCCCATAAATGAAACTAATGAAGGCCCAAGTGGCCCACTTATAAGTGGTGGGAAAGAACAACTCACAAAATTAATGGGCGAGGCTTTGATTACGCTTAGCCCAGCCACAACTAAGCCTAGCATTGAAAAATTAATGAAAATCGACACTTTCTACTTTTTCCTTGACAACGAGAAAAAAATATTGGGTATAACTATTATACAACGTTAATAGTGTCACATGATGTAACAATCAGTTAATAGATAAAAAAATCAACAAATGAGTCTCACTAAAACTCATAACTATCCAACTATGTCATATATAAATCGCCTTCATAATAGAAAATGAATTTTATTTTATTTATTTTATTGGATGATTGTACTATATCGTTGAATTTTAAATTTTATTTTATTCACTTAACCTTTCAAGAATTTTTTTAAAGCTAAATTATAATAGATTTTATATTTTTTTTTATTAAACTCTAAAATTTGGGTATTTTTTATATTTGGAGCCTAAAGCACGTTACTTTTTCTTTTTTTTTTTGCGTCTATTGTTATGCTCTGTTTGGTAGAAAGGATGAAAAGTAGGAGGGATACACTTTCTATCTTTCAAGGATGGAAAGTAGGAAATATACAATTTCCTTTCTTTGTGTTTGGTTGAATAGATGAAAAATAAAAATAACTAATTTTATTTGTACTGATTCGTGTTAAGTCATTAAGAGTTTGTGTCAAATATTAGTCAAACTTAATTTAACTCATTTAACTAATTGTGTCGTGTCGAGTTGCGAGTTGACCTATTTATTTTCGTATCGAGTTCGAGTCGTGTCATCGTGTTGAGTCGAAAATTTTTACCTTTAGTTAAGATGAAAAAAATATTTTTTATTTATTTATAATTTTTAAAAAAAATAATTTTTAAAATTTTTTAAAATATATATACATATTTTACCATTATATTTTTATATGAAATTAATGTGTACATAAAATATATAGACAAATAAGATACATATTAACACAAATAATTAACTTTTCATCAACTTTTCTTGTAATTTTAGAAGAATTAATTTTGGTAAGTTGAAAAGAAAGTTAATTCATTCATTTTTCTATCCTTCCTACAAATATAATATTTTATTTATCTTTCTAAATTTTCATCCTTCTAACTTTTCACCCTCTCACTTTTTCATCGCACCAAACGAAGCATCAGAGCCGGCCATGGGCTGGGGTTTGGTTTTCTGTTTTGATGAGTAATTGGTTTTCGTTTCCTATTGTGATTGGGTAAATGGTAAGAGTTTCCAATTCCTACCAACATTCAATTAA